GACGTTAGAGGTGAAAGATTCCTCAATATTCTTTGTGATTCTGGAGCTTGCATTAACATGATGTCCAAAGCTACTGCTTTGAGACTTGGCATTAAACACATTTCAAGTACCAGGACAAAGATTAGCTTAGCAGATGATTCAGGTGAAACACCAAGAGGGATAGCCCGAGATATTCCTCTAATGATTGGAGATTGCATAGCACCTGTCGATCTATACATAGTGAAGACCAAAGATGACTTATATCTAAATATCCTTGGATGGCCTTTCTTAGCAACTGCTGGAGCCATCATGGATTGGCCCAACCGGAGAGTTTCTTTTGCAAATATCGACAAGGACATCTGCAATGAAGCTACACAACTTAAGAGCAAAAGAGGAGAGCATAAAGCCCAAGCGTTTGAACAAGAAGAACTCTGGAGTGATGAAGAACCTGCAAGACAGAATAGGAGGACTTCAAAAAGGACTTTTCTTAGGACAAGATCCTATTTGAACTAACTTTTTTTCTTTGCAAAGTCTAGCTAAAGACTATAAACCAAAGCGCTTGATGGGAGGCAACCCATTTAGGTACTTATTTATTTTGGTTTAGCTTTCTTTTTCTATTAAAGTTTTGTTTTTCTTATTTTATACAGGTCTTAGTATGCATTTAAAAAAAAAAGAGAGAGAAAAGGAGCTCACCGCGGCCAAAGGAGGTTCAGCCGCAGCCAGCAAGCATTTTTCCATGGTCATGAAGCCTTCAACCGCTGCTGGGACATCTTGATCTGCGGCCAGCAAAATTCGGCCATCATTGGCCACTTCCACATCTAGCTTGATTCAAATCAATCCCAATTTGATCAAGTACCACTCGACATCATCCACCATACACCATTCAACACCTTACCACCTCCACAACCACCTCAGAATTCATCACCAACACCAGGTAAGTTTTCTTTTCTTTAACTTTTTAAAAATTTTCACATACTCTATTTCTCATCCTTGCCTGATTTATTTCACACTGGGGGCGGTGTGATTTAAGTCTGGAGGAGGATTTCATCTCTTTCTAACCACCTTTTCTTGCATGAGCCTTTGCATTCTGCATTTTTCTTTAAAATTTTTTATTTTTTTGGTTTTTCTTAAAACTTTTCAAAAGTCTTTTGAGTTTCAAAAAATGTTTTCAAAAGTCAAATACATTTTGAGGGAATAATGACAAAATTGATGATGATAACCAACCCGTTTACTTCTACACCAATCATTCATTAAAAAGCTCTCTCTATGTTTAGTACTAGACTAGACGGTAGCTAGAGTACTTACACTACGAAATCCCACCAGAGGACTTCTATTCATGGAGATCTTTTCTGACAGGATATACTAGCTCATTTTACTTGGACTTAATCTTGATGTCTAATTTTTTAATCAATGGTTTTAAGAAGGCATCATGATATACATCTAGGACATCTTCACCTTATTGTTACTACTCTTTGTTGTCCTAGATGACCAGTTCATCTTTAGCTGGTACCACACCCTTAACCCAAACCATCATTTTAAACCTCATACACTCTCTTTTAAGTCTATGTTGACAGATATGTGCAAAAACGCCAGAGAGGGAGGAACAACATAGTTTTCAGTCACTCAAGAGAAGGAATGAATGAAACCGGGAAGGAAGTATACAAAGCAATCTCAGCAAACCTCATGATGACTTAAAAAGCTCATTCTTAAAGGTAATTTTCGTGCTCCCGAAGACCCTAAGTCAAGAGGCGGTTTTCCCTTTTCAAAAAAAAAATAACGTAAAAAGAGAAAAAAAAAAGAAAGGAAAGGAAACCAAGAGACTAAAGAGTCTTAGAAGCCGAAATCATTTGAGCCAAGGCAATAGGTATCCACTTATGGAGTTATGGACTCACAACCTGGACAAAAATCCAAGTCTGGGGGAATTATAAGGAGAACCTGAAGAAAGGAGATCAGAAATCTTGAAGCAAGGAGAATGTGACTGAAAACTGTGGGGGCATCGATAGTTCCAATCTCTCTTTCTGTTTTGCATAATGTCTTGTCTCTCCAAAGTGTGGGGGCATCGACAGTGGGGGCAACCACATTTGGTGAAGAAGAAGATACAAAAAGGCGAAATGGCAAAATTGTATGAAGAGACGTCAATACAGAAGCTAAAAAGGCGAGCAAAACACTAAGAGGCAGTCAAAAATGATCTGTCTACAAGTCACTTAATAAAAGACTCGTTCAAGAGAAGCTCCCCCTCCACTGTCTCGTCACCATAAACTCTTTTCCGGCTCACCTGAAAGAAACTGATTACGTCATACGTGGTGTTTACCCTGACAAAGCTAGCCCAGTGGATGGTTAGTCTGCCCGTTGATTCCATGTCGTAAGAATAGCATTGTTTAACCAGACCACCATGGGGCACGCTTCTCTGCGGACAGCCTAACTGTTCTCTATGAACTTTGTCGGAATTGCATCATGCAGCTTAGGACTGCCACCCCTCTGCGGATCTGTCTGCCAACTTATAGTAAGTTCCATGGTGTACGGCTCTCCTTTAGCGAATCAGATATCTATAAGGAATCGGCTATGGAATATTTCTAAGCGGGCAGGGCGACACCCACTCTGGAACCAGTCTGACGGGCAGGCATTGTGCTCTTCACTTATTGAGAACAAGGCTCTGGGAGTCACTTTGCCCACAGCAGGTGACTCAGGCATCATGTGCTTCGTAGCCCACCATTCTAGGTCATTTCATCCACAGTATCTGAGTCACGTAACACATCCTTCACTACGGTCTCACAGCCAAGGTCATGCTGCCCACGACACCTGACTCAGGCATCATATCCTTCATCGAAAAGGCTTCATGAGTCTCAGGTCGACAAGATAGACTCAGGCAACGCATCCTTCATCGAGAAAGCGTTACGCACTTCAGGCAGGATATCCAGTCAGATACGGCTAATGAAAGGGGGTGCAAGGAAAATTTCTACTCCACGAATTAATTTTGCTAACCCATATAGTGGAGGGAAATTGTTGGGGATAATTCTTACGTAGATGAATCATGTATTGTACGTGGCATCCATGGTTTTTTTGCAGGTACGACCCCCTAGGCCAAATTAGGTTCCATATTGGATTTACGGCCCAACACGACCTAAGCACATAGCACGGGATCTCGAACCCATTGTATTTTGGAGACCCGGCATGAGGGCCACCTGTTCTCAGGTTCCTTGGAACAAGGAGTTCAGGAACTGAGTGGTCAGGAGGAAGAGAGGTTCCATTCCTTATATCTCAGACCTAAGCTCAGTGATTTAGAAGGGTCAATATCTAAGAAAGTGTAACCCATGCAGGTATCTGGAGAAAGGCGACAGCCAGCGAGACAACCTCGAAAGCCCGGTCCTAGTATCAAAGAATCCGGGCCAGGTATGAATATCTTTTTAAGCGGTAAACACTATTTAAATTTCCTCTACTCGACAATTAAAATATGCACTTGACTAAATCAATTGCCCATATCTTTATAAGCCCACGAGATTAGCATTTAATGCTCAATGCTTACACGTGTTAGGTGATACTGACCACACGCGGGATACAGAGGAAGACAGAGGCTGAGCAATGGCCATATCACGTCTAAACCTCCAAACCTAGATCGTACACTGAGAGTGAAAGGATGCATCAAGGGCTGGTCTCGCAGCTAGCGGAGAATGCCAAATAAAGTTGGTGAGACCGTCAGAAGCATGCCACAAGCAACAAGATTCAGATCTTAGATAGACCCACCAACCTGAATTTTTGCGGTCCGACCTTGTATACTTAACCCTTTCTAATGAGAAAGGGGTTTAATCTCTTTAAATACTCGTAATTCAAAAGGCCTAGAACTCTCATTTTTCGGTCCGCATTTCAACCACTTTCACACTTCCACTCCAGTCCACAGTGGTTCCTAAATAATGGAGCATTTACTCCCCCCCCCCAAACTCTTACATTTTTTCTCTTTTCCATGTCAAAAAGCCCACTAAACTTAGGTCCGAGTAGACTCATCCCTTTTTAAGTGTTCTTAGCCCACTTTCCTTTTGGTTTTCCGATTTTCCCTTATTCTCTCCGATTAATCACTTAGTAATCTTTTATTTTATCGTTTCCTGACTTGAGCGTCGGAGAACCATCGGAAAACACCCCACTATCGTGATCCGACACAAGGAGTTACAAGAGAATATAAAGAATAAGAAGAGATAAGTTTGGCAAACATTAAACACATCTCAAAAATAAAGCTGGCAAACTTGAATTTGATTTAGACGCTCCTCTTGTTGTCGACACAGCTTGGACTTTGGGCTCTTGGCTTTGTGGACTTATACAATTAGAGATCCATTCTTGCCTTATTAAAAATCTATCTCAAGAAAATCTATTGGAACAAAATTTGAGATATGGAAAAAGAATACAAGTCTGGATCTCAAGTCCGCTTAGTCATCTTGGACTTATCTCACAACCAAAATGCTTGTGATCGTCTCTTTTCTCTCTTCGATAGAATTGAGGTTTTTGATGAAAGTTCTAATGATTTTCTTGAGTTTTTTAGTCTTTGATTGAGTCAATGGACCATTTCGAACAAGCAAAGAATCTTTTTGATCAGTTCTAGCTCCACAACTGCTTGCTTTCCATCCTCTGGCTCTAGTTTTAAGTTTTTATTGCTTTTCATAATCATATCATTTTTAATACCCAAGAGTATAATTGACACATATACATTATTACCAAATTATTACCAGAAATGAACAGTCTAAGATTGTTCTTCTTTTAAGCTTTTCTAAAAAATATTATGGAAAAAACAAAAGTAAAAGCGGTGAGAAAGAAAAAAAGACTGCAAATGGAGAGAGAGGGTGACCACTATGGAGACAGCGAACCCATTTACTCATTATTTTTCCTACTTTCTTTTATTTATTTATTTTGATCGAATACAAAAACACAAACAACAAACTTCGTTTTTTTCTTTGTTGTTGCTAAAGCTCAAGACTTTGTGGATTTAACTATCATACCCTTCGACCAAAAAAAAAAAAAAACTATCATACCCAAAGAAGACCTGAATCTGTATCTATCTTATTTCTTCTCTCCCGCAGCAATGCTGGAGATTTAGCGGCTCTTTGTCTTATTTTCTGCTCTTTCTCTTTCTGTGTTCCAATTTTTGTTTTCGTCTCCTTTCATTGAAGCTCTTTTTGCAGCAACCATGGCGTCTAGAACCAAGTGGGTACTTTGTTCTTCCTTAGTTTTTTTTATTCATACTTAAAGTCTTCAACTTTGAATATAACTGGATCTGAGATGCTCTCTTCAGTTTTCTTGCTCGGAATGGGATGTGTTTTGTCGGACACTAAGTTGCTCATTTCCTCAAAGCATGTTTTTCTTTCTTTTTCTGAAACTATTTTTTGCTTTTAATCTCTCAATTTACCAAAATTCTGTTTTATGCTTTAATTGTTTCAATAACGTCTCAAAATTTTACTTGTTATATTGTTCAGTGCAATTCTTATCATTTGATCTGTAGATTCATGTTTGAGAACTTGTTCTTGGATAATTTTTCTTTCTAGTAGAAGATTTGTGAATTGATAATTGTATCTGTGTCTTTGGTTGAATTGAGCTGAGTACTGAATCTCAAATTGCTTGAAAATGTAGTTGAATTAATTAATTCAAAGATGTGATTTTAAGCCTTTTTGGGAACTTTCGCTTGTTTTGGTAAAATGTACGATCCATATAATTTAACATCTTTTTGGAACAGTATTGATCTTAATGTAACATTGTGTTGTTCAATTTTGTCTATTTACCCTAGAACCGGCTTGATGGAGACTCCTCGTAGTAAACCATCGCCACCACCTCCTCGAGTCAGTAAACTCAGTGGTTCTAAATCCGATGGCAATTCGGCTTCGTCGGTGCCAAATACTCGTCTCTCGCTTGACCGTTCTCCTCAAACAGTTAACTCAAAGCCTGCTCGGACTTCTAGAGTTCCTACACCCGAGGCAAGTAGCTGACCCTCTTTATCTGATTCCTGAAGCTTTTGGTTTTGAGTAGCTTTGAGATTCATAGATTGTATTAATATCCACTACTGTAAATCAGAATTTTGTTTATCATCTGCAAAACTTTGTGTTTCTTGTTTTTGTTCTTTGTGATAAAAGCTGATCAGCTAAACCTGTTGACATTTCCAGAAAGTGCAGTCACGGTTGGTAAAAGGGTCGGAGCTTCAGGCGCAGTTGAATCCAATTCAGGAGGACTTAAAGAAAGCTGAGGAGCAAATAGCATTGCTCAAGAAAGATAAAGCTAAAGCCATAGAAGATCTTAAAGAATCCGAGAAACTTGCGGAAGAAGCCAATGAGAAACTCAGAGAGGCATTCGCAGCTCAGAAACAAGCTGAGGAGAGTTTCGAGATGGAGAGATTCCGAGCTCTTGAGCTGAAACAGGCTGGACTTGAAGCCGTTCAGAAAAAGGAAGAGACTTCGAGGAACGAGCTAGAGTCTATCAGAAGCCAGCACGCGTTGGACATCTCAGCTCTCCTCTCTACCACAGAAGAACTCCAGAGGATGAAGAATGAACTGGCTATGACCGCTGATGCTAAAAACAAGGCGCTAACCCATGCTGAGGAAGCGACGAAGATTGCTGAAATCCAGGCTGGGAAGGCCGAGATCCTTTCTTCTGAATTAGGCCGGTTAAAGGCATTACTCGGTTCAAAGGAAGAAAAGGAAGCTATTGAAGGTAACGAGACCGTGTCTAAACTAAAGTCTGAAATTGAAGTCTTGAGAGGAGAGCTTGTCAAAGTCAGTGCCCTTGAGAATAGTATTAAAGAGAAAGAAGGATCAATTGAACAACTTAACGTTGAACTAGAAGCTGTTAAAATGGCTGAATCTTCCGCCAATATTTTAGCAGAAGAATGGAAGAACAAGGTTCATGAACTTGAGAAACAAGTTGAAGAATCAAATAGATTGAAGACATTTGCTTCAGAATCTATGGAATCAGTTATGAAGCAGCTTGCTGAATGTAATCAGGTGCTGCATGAGACGAAGTCAGATAATGCTGCACAAATAGAAAAGATTGAGTTGTTAGAAATAAAAATTGAAGCGCAGAAAAATGATCTAGAGGAATATGGACAACAAGTTTGCCTCGCAAAAGAAGAAGCTTCGAAGATGGAAAAACTTATTGAATCAATAAAATCTGAACTTGAGACCTCCCAAGAGGAAAAAAGTAGGGCCTTGGACAACGAAAAGGCTGCAACGTCAAATATTCAGAATCTACTGAATGAAAAGACAGAACTTTCAGTAGAGTTGGAACGCTGTACGATGGAAGAAGAGAAGAGCAAGAAATATATTGAGACCTTAGTGTCAGCTTTGCAGGAAGCATCGACTGAAGCAAGGGAAGTGAAAGAGAAGCTCTTAGCATGTCAAGTGGACATCAAGCAGTGTGAAGCCCAGGTTGACAGATTAAAGTTAGATTCAAAGGAGACAAATGAAAAGTACGAAAAAATGCTTGAGGATGCAAGAAATGACATTAGTAGTCTGAAAAGTGCTTTACATAGCATCCACAGCGAGTTTGAGAAGTCTAAGGCTGAGTGGGAACAGAAAGAGCTTCATTTGATGGATTGTGTAAAGAAATCAGAAGAAGAAAATTCGTCTTTACACGTAGAAGTAAGCAAGTTGGTGAATTCGCTCAATGAAAGTGAAGAATATGCACGTGCAAGTAAGGAGGAAGAAGCCAATCTAAATAATAATCTTAAAGAGGCTGAAGGGGAGATAAAATATCTACAGGAAACACTTGGAGAAGCAAAAGCTGAAAGCATGAACATGAAAGAGAGCTTGTTAGACAAAGAAGATGAGCTAAAGAATGTCATTGCAGAAAATATCAGCCTTAGAGAATGGGAAAGTTCTGTACTTGAGAAAATCGAGGAGTTGTCAAAGGTAAAAGAAAGCTTGTCTGACAAAGAAACCAAGCTGTTGAGCATTACTCAAGAAGCTGAGGAGCTGAAAGTAAGGGAGGCTTCTCATACGAAGCAGATTGAGGAGTTGTCAATGGCAAATGGAAAATTGGTTGATAACATAACCAAATTGCATAGTATTATTCAAGAAAGTGAGGATCTCAGAGAAAGGGAAGCTTCTTATTTCAAGAAGATTGAGGAGTTATCAGTGGCGAATGAGAGCCTGGTTGATAACATAACCCATCTACACAGCATTACTCAAGAAAGTAAGGATCTCAGAGAAAGGGAAGCTGCTTATCTCAAGAAGATTGAGGAATTGTCAGCCGCAAATGAGAGCTTGCTTGATAAAGAGATCAAACTGAAGTGCATTGATCAAGAATCTGATGAGCTCAGAGGTAGGGAGGCTGCTCATTTGAAGAAGATTAAGGAGCTAACAAAGATGAATGAGTGCTTGGTTGATATGCAGAATGTTTTTCAAGAAAGCGAGGGTCTCAGAGAAAGGGATGCTGCTTATCTTAAGAAGATTGAGGAATTGTCAATAGCGAATGGGAGCTTGGCTGATAACATAACCAATCTGCAAAAAATTTCTGAAGAAAGTAAGGAGCTCAGAGAAAGAGAGACTGTATTCCTTAAGAAGACCGAGGAGTTGTCACTGTTGAATGAAAACTTAGTTGATAAAGAGACCAAATTGCAAACAGTTGTTCAAGAAAACGAGGAATTGAGAGAAAGAGAGTCGGCGTATCTTAAAAAGATTGAGGAGTTTTCGAAGTTGCATAAACTCTTTGCTGATAAGGAATCCAAACTCCAGAGTTTTATTCATGAAAATGAAGAGCTCAAAGAAAGGGAGACTGCTTATCTTAAGAAGATTGAGGAGTTGTCAAAGGTGCAAGAGGATCTTCTTATTAAAGAAAATGAGTTGGATGGTTTGGTTGTGGAGATTGACGACCTTAGATCCAAGGACTCTCTAGCACAAAAGAGGATAGAAGATTTATCAAATTTTAATACTAGTTTTCTAGTTAAAGAGAATGAGTTACAGGCTGTCGTTTGCGAAAACGAGGAGCTGAAGTCGAAGGAGGTTTCATCATTAACGACAATAGACAAGCTGTCAGATCTTAGACAAAGTTTGCTTCATAAAGAAAAGGAGCTGAAGGCTGCAATTGTTGAAAATGAGAAGCTCAAGGCTGGAGCAGCCTCATCCCTTCAGAGGATTGAAGAATTGACAAATCTTAAACAGAGTTTGCTTGATAAGCAGAACGAATTGCAGGGTGTATTTCATGAAAACGAGGAGCTCAAAGCCAAGGAGGCTTCGTTATTGAAAAAGATTGATGAGTTGTTACATCTTGAGCAAAGTTGGCTTGATAAGGAAAGTGAATTTCAAAGAGTTACTCAAGAAAACGAAGAGCTTAAAACGCGGGAATCTTTATCAGCAAGGAAAATAGAGGAGTTGTCGAAGCTGAAAGAGAATTTACTAGAGAGAAAAAACGCGTTGCAGAATGTAATCCTGGAGAATGATGAGCTGAAGGGTAGGGAAGCTGCCTCTCTTCAGAAAATGGAGGAATTATCAAAGATTCTAGAGGAAGTCTCTCCCATCAAAGAGAGACCAGATCTTGGAAACGGCGAGCTCACCAACATCGGAAACGATTATGACGTAATTCAGTTTTCCGAAGTAAACGGTCCTGGGCGTGCCAAGGAGAAGACAAAGACGACTGATACTTTTCATAACAGAAGCAGGAAACATATGATGCAAGAAAGTCCTATGGAAGCTATTGATAAACATTTAATGGGTGAAAGAAAAGCAACTCATAAAGTAGCTCACAGAATTGAAGGAGAAGGAAAAGTAGAGAAAGACGGTGTGGAGTCTGAATTCAAGATGTGGGAGAGCTACACGATAGAAAGAAGCGAAATATCTCCAGAGAGAGAGACTGAGCTCGACTTTGTTCAAGAGGAAGTTGAGTCGAAAGCTGAAGGAAGTGAGAACTTGGATCAATTCAGCAATGATTTATCTTCAGACCACACTGAAGACTCTGGAAGTCTGCTCTTAAAGGAACAACATATGAAGAAGAAGAAACCATTGCTCCGGAAATTCGGTAACCTGCTTAAAAAGAAGAGTACAAGCAGCAGCAGTCAGAAGTAGAGGATGATCTCTTTGCAACTGAGCATTTCTTGGTTCATATTTTTAATCTTAATGAGTATAGCTTTAAATTTGATCAACGTATTTAATCTAAATGCTTCCACGTGGCTACCAAATCAAGATTTAGATTGTCTATGACATTAAACACTTGCCCTTTGATCTTTTTCTCTTAATTTTTTGCTGAAGTTGTTTTTTTTTTTTTTTTTTTTTTTTTTTTTGCTGCTTTTTTCATTTTTCATAAGTTTCTCGAAGTTACCTGTGAATAAATTTTTATTTCGATTCTCGATCTTCTGTTTTTGGTTATAAATTCCTAATTCAAGTATTGAAACTGGACAGTAATTGTATGTTTGGGAAGCCACAAGCTTAACAGATGATGCATAGCGAAATCTCCAAGTTTAGGGACCAAATTTCTTTCGCAAAGCCGACTTGATGGGTTTTTGCTTAATAAATGTTGATAGGTTTGGATCATAATGTAGTGCGAGTTGGAAAAAGACTTTTAAAATATTTGTTGAAAACATGGTGTTTAGTAGTTAGATTAATGTGCAGGGTGAGGTGAAATGTCTCTATCCTCTTGTACTTGTTCCGTTTGGTTTTGACAAATGGAATTGGTTATAGGAGAGTTTCAGATTTAACCTAAAAATAAAAGTCAAATACCAAACGAACCTCTTTTTTTTTTTTTCTCTTTTCAACTTTTACTATTTTGAACCTAAAAATAAAAGTAATAATTCTATCATTCTGACTCAAGATATTAACAAAAATGCCATTATAAACCCATTATTTCGATCTTTTTAAGTATTGGCTAAAGTCTCCTTAGACCTCCTAAAACTTTTTTTATTACAATAATGTCATCTTCTTCAATACCTTCAACCACCATGAACAACCCAAAAAATATAATAAATGCTTCTTAACCAATTTTAAAGCTGTAATAAGTTAATATGAGAGCTCATACACTCATAACCTTCTATATTCTTTCATAGTTGCTTCTCTAAAATTTTTGGGCTAGTTACAATGTCAAAGGTTATGCATTTTTTGTGATTTCAGCTTAATCAAGACCTGGGTTATTTTTTTTTTTGTCAAATTCAGAGTTTTGGATGCATGAGAAACCTAAAAACAAACTCAAAACCGATATAGGTAATGATACACTTCAGTTTTGGTAATATCTATATCTGTATCGTAAAAGTAGACTTCATTAAACTGCACGAAAAGTCTACTCGATATTCTTTGAAAACAAAAAAAAGCCTAGTAGACTTTCTTTGAAGGCATAAAAAGTCTACGAAAGAGAAGAGGTTATTTTTGTAGTTGACCGTATTTTGACTTTTTAATATAGACTTCTTTCTAAAGTCTACTATTTACGTCTGCACAAGAATTCTACTTTAAAGTTACTTTTGTTGTTTGACCAAAAACGTATAGGTCATTTTAGTGTTTGACTAAAGTTTTTTAAAAAATAAAAAATACAGAAAATTCCGGAAAACTCCAGTAGACTTCATAAAGAAGTCTAAAAACGGTAGACTTCTTGCGGAAGTCTACTATTGTTTTCCGGTCCAACTTAGAAGGAACCTTTTTTTTAGTAGACTTTCCTGTGAAGTCTACTAAAGACAATATCTACAAGAAAAATTAGTGATTCCAACAGAAATATCAGTAGATATTTTGTTGGAATCATTAGTTCCGATAAATTTCCCGCAAATGAGAATTTCGTCGGAATTTGATCGTTGGAATTGTTAATTTGTTTGCAAGTCATTGGAAATATTTTTGATAAATATTGTTTATTAGAAATTCGTCGAAAATTTTTGATGTATTATTTGTCGGACATTTCTTGGAATAGTCTAATAAAATTCTGACAAATCTTTTTTTGTTGAAATGTTGTTGGTTTTTTCTGTCAAAGTTTTTACTAAATTCTCCGAAGAAATATTTGTTAGACTATCGTTGATTAGCTACCATCAGGTATAAATGAGCTACTTAAACCGGATTTTAAAAATTTTGGATAAATAAATAAAATAAAAACCGGATTTTCAACGGATCAAACCCAATCTTTTTTTTAGTAGATTAATCAATTGCAAAAATAACCTAAATTTTTCTGTAGATTTCTATTGAAAAAGTAGACCTCAAAAGTAGACTGTCAGAGAAGTCTACTTTTACTTGAAGTCTACGATAGAAATCTACTTTGTTAGTCAATGACTCGGTCAAATGCTAAAATAACTTTTTTGGTCGGAAGTCTACTTTTGAAGTTTACTGAAGAGAAAGTCAACAGTTTGGTCAATTGCAAAATTATGTTTTTAAGTAGACTTCTTTTGCAGACTTCCATAGGAAAAAGTAGACTTCGTCCTCCAGTTGATATACTCATATTTTGTCATGTTTAGGATTGCATTTTTGTTCAAATATTGAGTGTTATGCATACATTTAGGTAGTTTTACATATATTTGTCTTTGCTTATGTCTTTAGTTAGGAATTGCATTAGGTCCTAGAGAGTTTTGCACTTTTGGAGTGTTTACAGGTCATTTGGAGCTATTTGGGAGCAATTGGGACAAAAGCCATGGAGAGACTATCACCTTATGTGCATCAGACTCGGACAAGTGTTGCTAAGTATAAACCCTAAATCAAATATTTTGCTCTTATTAATTTAAAACCATAATTTATACTTATGAATGTGAAACAATAATTTATATACACTAAAAATAGCAATATCTAATTTATGATTGCAAATTTGAAATCAAAAATTTTTTTTATTAATTTTAAAATCAATTTTTATGATTTAGTTACATAGTAGACTTCATAAGCTTTGTCAGAAGTCTACTAATAGACTTCTAAAAGTCTTTAGTAGACTTCGTCAGAGTTTAAATTGTAATTAGAACATTTGTTTTTTTGTTTGGTCATACATGATTATATTGTCTTTTCACTACCCTCTTAGATTATTTTTGCCAAATATTACATCAAGGGTCTACTTTTGTATTCAAAATCAACTTTTAGGTCAGTTTTAGCAAAAACCCCTTGATTATATTATTTTTTAATTACTAACATAGTAAAACTTTTATAAATTAATAATGTCTGGATTTTAAAACTTTATTAATTTATAAAAATATTTATTAATAAATATTTATTAATTTCTAGAGTTAATTTGATTTTCATCCATATTATTGTAAATATCTTTTCTAATGATGTTATGTTTAAGAATTTAACTAAATATATTTTGTGAAAGTGATATGCACAAACTTAAAATTATGACTAATGGCTTTATTGAAATAGAATATATATTCGTTTCAGGATTTTTTTTTTTTTGTTCACTTGGGAGGGCTAATCTCTTGCACGAAAAAGAAAGTGAGGTCAAAGGTCAGATCACATGATGAATGTGTGGATCACATGATAAACATCACATGATGAATGTCTTTTCTATTTTCAACTAACTCCATAAGATTCTAGATCAGGAAATTTGATACATTCCTGTCATGGCTCTGATTAAACCTAAGATCATATGCTATGTGATCAATCAAGCATACGTGCATTAAAATCAGAATGAATGGGAAAATCATTTCAAAATCAAAATCTTTAGTCTAATAACCTAGATGTTTTTTAACCACGAGAGGCCTATCGATGACCCTATATACCCAACAAGGGAACTACTCAGACATAGCTCTTAAAACCACTACAAGAAAACATGAAATTGACGATTACATTTTACGACTGTTAAAACAGTCGTAACGTTGACAGTTAACGACTGGTTAACGACTATTCTGTGACTGTATAGTGATGACATGTAGTCGTCAAACAGTCGCTAAATAGTTGCAAATAAAAACAGTCGTATTTTAGTCGTTAATTCCTGACGAATTTACGACTTATGCGGCGAGTCGCTTAATAAAAAACATGTGTTGTAACTTTTTTGGTAGGTGTACTGGTTTTTTACGACTAAAAGACGACAGTCGCTATTTAGACGCAAACCAGTAGCAATTTAGTCATAAAATTTTCTATATATACAGACCACGCATCTTTTTTCCACTCACTCACAATCACAATCTATAAGCTCCGAAATTCTGGAGAGCGTTTCTAGATATAATGTCTAGAAATTTCAGTAATAATAATAATAATAAAGAGTGGATGTATAAACGGATCGACGAAGAGACGAGAAATTTCCATACGGAATTTGTATCCGGAGTAGAATAATTTATGAATTTTGCGAACAACCAGACGCTAACGCAGAGTAATGGCGGTAAATTTTACTGTCTTGTAGTGTTTGAGAAAATAATAAATTTTTGCCGGGAAAAAAAATTTGGGACCATCTCTTTAGTAAAGGGTTCATGCCAGATTACTATATTTGGTATAAGCATAGGGAAGAAATTACTAAGGATTATGGAACTAGTTATGGTAATACAACTCATTTAAATTGGAGTGAAGAAGATGTGGGTAATGTAGTAGGAGATAGATATGTGGATATGGTGAATGATGCATTTCATGGTAATTATCATCAAGATGATACATATCATCAACAACCGATGTACAAGAACCGATGCGTAACCATCCTCAACAATTTTACGACTTGTTAGAAGCTGGGAAAAGACCATTATATGATGGTTGTCATGAAGGTCACTCGCAGTTATCTTTAGCTATTCGGTTCATGCAAAATAAAGTAGATTATAATATGAGTGAAAAGTGTGTGGATTCGTGGGCATCTTTTTTTACGGAGTATTTATGAGAAGGAAATCAGTCAACCAGGTCACATTACAAGACAGACAAATTCATGGGAAATTTGGGGCTTCCATTTCATAAAATTGATGTTTGTATTAACAATTGTATGACCTTCTGGAAAGAAGATGAAATGTGAGAAGAGTGTAAGTTGTGTTAGTCACCAAGATATACGCCTAACGAAGGACGACGTTCACAAACCAGAATACCATATAGTTGTATGTGGTATCTACCTATTGGTGATAGATTGAAGAGGATGTATCAGAGCCAGAAGACTGCAGCGGCAATGAGATGGCATGCTGAGCACCAAGCAAAGGAGGGTGAAATGTGTCATCCCTCTGATGCTTCAGAGTGGAAATATTTTCAAGATCTACATCCCGGTTTGCTGAAGAACCCCGCAACGTGTATCTTGGATTATGTACAGATAGATTCAATCCATTTGGCATGTCTCGTAATCATTCTTTATGGCCTGTGATCTTGACTCCTTATAATTTACGCCCTGGTATGTG